CTCTCTCTCTCTCTCCAGCTCCTGCTCAGCCACCTATCTATGAATTTTTGTTACCTCAGCATCTTCAACTGGTTGATATGGTTTCCAGGTTTCCTTCCCTTCTTCTCCTGCTCGCTTACAGTTAATCTTTATTTAATCGTCTCTGCTTTTTTCTTAACTTCCTGGCCATTGCTCCCACTCAGCCTAAAATTTTCTGCTAAATTTTATTTCTCTTCTGCAAACCTTTTTGATTCAGTGCAAACCTCCAGAGCTGAATCCGTGGATTCAGAAGAACAAGGTTGAAAGGGACCTCGGAGGTCTTCTAGTCCAGCCCTCTGCTCAAGCAGGAAATCCTATACCATTTCGGACAAATGGTTGTCCAATCTCTTCTTAATTACAGCAAGATTTCTTGTGGTAGCACCTGCTGCAGATTGTCCTGCCCTCTCTGGTTTCCTTTCACCACCAGTATTTCTCAAGCTTTCCCGGTTTAAGATGTCTGGACTTCAACTCCGAGAATTCCCCAGCCAGCTGCACTGGAAGTTGAAGTCTAGACATCTTAAACTGGGAAAGCTTGAGAAACGTTGCATAGCCATCTAGATCTTTAATCCATGCTCTTCTTGTTTGTGATAACCCTACATTGGACGAAAAGCTCAGTAGATGCTGCCCATCTATGGTCAACTCAGTTCTTCTAACTATGCTGTGCCCCATCCTCATAATTCATGTGTCCTTCCCTCTCTCCCAACTCCTCCATCCATGCACATCTCCTAATATATCCCCCAGAAGACTTTCCACACTGCTTTCCTCCTTCCACTAAGATGTCCATCACGCAATGGTCGGCTTCCATCAAGTCCTCTGATGAAGGCATGGAATAAAAACCTACCACCTCTAGCTTTGTTCCAGCCCAACGTGGTAGGGTTGTATGAAAATAACTCCAGGGTGGAACACAGGTTCAAGTTTCTGGATCTGCTGTTCCTTTCCAGATCTTCCTGGGAAAACTCAGCCATCCAATCGAAAGAATTTCATACTTACGCTCTGGAGGAGGTATCTCACTCTGGTGTGTCCCAGTAAGATCTGTGGCTTTGATGGTGGCCCCTTTCTTTATATCCTTCCTTCCAAAATAGCATCAGCTGCTCCCCACCCTCTACAGCCTCCCCCTTCTCTGCAGGCCGTTTCAGCTGTGAGTGACATGTTGACAAGGAAGCAGCGAGAATGGTCCCACACAGAAGGCCATCTCTGACCATGAATGGTGCTGCTCTTCAGCACTTCATCGTCTGCCTTTCTCCTCCGCCTTCCTGCATCCTTTGATGCTCAGAAGAGAAATACATTCCAGAGGATGGGGTGATGGACGGGGACACACACACAAACACACACACAAACACACACACACAACTTGGAGGGCGCCGGTGGTGGAGGTGGCAGCTGATAAGGGAGTAGAAGATTCTGTTGGAGAGTCTGCACAGATGGCAAACTGGAAGGGAGATTGCAAGGAGGATAATGATAAAATTACTGAAATTTCACTTCCCCTGTACGTTCTCAGATGGATGCTGGTGTATTAAAGAGTCTTGGGCGCAAATCAAGGTGGGTGAAAGGACTTTGGGACCAAAAAAATAATAATACACAAGAGGTGCGGACTTCAACTCCCAGAATTCCCCAGCCAGCCCCCCTCTTTCTGGAAGTTTGAAATCCACGTCTCTTAGTGTCGGCCTGTTAGAGAATCACTGATTTAGGTGGATTCAAAACTCCCAGGCTTGTTTGAGTATCTATTGAGTTGGTTAATGTGGTTTGAAGTGGGGTCGTTTTGACGGCTGCCACATCCTTAATATTTTGCTGTTTTTGAATCTTATGTACCACTTGAAGTATTTGAAGAAAGGCAGTGAGGTAAACAGTCAAAAAAATCCAATTATTAAACACAATTTAGGAACTTTAAGAAGGGTGGACTTCAACTCCCAGAATTCCCCAGACAGCTGGCTAGGGAATTCTGGGAGTTGAAGTCCAGCCCTCTTAAAGTTCCTAAATTTAAAAAAAAAAATCAAATAAGAATGATATTCCTCCCTTCCCTCGTTTGTTAGAGGCTGGACTTTCAGAGAAAGAATAGAGTGGGTGGTAGATAATTATGGTTGTAATTGTCTTTTCATTCTCCTTGTGCCCCCAGAGTAGATCAGATATATTGTTGTCGGTAAACATGATCTTACAACCTGATGCTTGGATTTAGAATTCATTTATTTATTGCCTTGTTTGGAAAAATCTATTTTGAAAAGATCCAGCTCTGTCGGCAGAGGCAGAGATCCAGGGCTGTCCCAACAGGGTGGCGTGTGTCAAAAAAGTCAAAATGACAGCAAGAAGCATGCCATCTTGCAGCACCTTTTTAAAAAACATGCCTCTGAAGACATGCAGAGCAAATATAAATACTACTACTTATTATTAATAGTAACCACTTACTATTAGTAGTAACCACTTACTACTAGTAGTAACCACTTACTACTAGTAGTAACTACTACTACTTACTATACTCGTAGCTTTTCCAGTCAATTTCCTTAAGCAAATTTCTTTCTACTCAGTTACTCAGGAGTAGGAGTGGTTTGACCCTCATAAAAGAGGGTGTGTTGGATTGGGGTCTTAGGCAAGGCATTTATGTTACATTTTTCCACCTGCAAGTTTTTCACACACACATCTCCCCAAACAAGTGAGAAACTTGGGGCTGGCTATAGTCAACCAGATGACATCACCCTAATGTCCATCTTTTACCTTGAGGCTGGCTGTGCTCAACCAATTGCCCTTACCCTCTTCCCATCTCTGACGCTGGGGCTGGCTGTGGTCAACCAATTGCTCTCACTCTGCTCTCCATCTTTGACCTTGGGGATGGCTATGGTCAACCAGTTGGCCTCATTCTCTTTCCCATCTCTAATCTCAGGGCTGGCTGTGGCTTACCTGTTGGCCTCACTCTTCTGCATCTTCAACCTTGAGGTTGGCTGGGATCAACCACCCTCTTCTATCTTTGGCTTCTTCCCCATCTTTGACCTTGAAGCTGGCTATGGTCAATCTGTTGACTTCACTCTCTTCCCCACCTCTGACCTTGGGTCTGGCTGCGGTCAATCAGATGATATCTCCCTCTTTCCATCTTCGACCTTGGAACTGACTAGGATCAACCAGTTGGCCTCACTCTCTTCCCCATCTGCAACATTGAGTCTGGTTGTAGTCAACCAGATGTTACCTCCCCTTCTCTATCTTTGACCTTGGGACTGGCTGTGGTCAACCAACTGACTTCACCCTCTTCCTATCTTTGGGGGTGGCTGGGATCAACCAGTTGACCTCACTCCATTCCCCATCTCTAACATTGGGGTTGGCTGTGGTCAACCAGTTGGTCTCACTTTCATCTTTGATCTTGGGACCAGCTGTGATCAACCAGTTGGGTTCAACCTATTCTCCATCTTTGACCTTTTAGCTAGCTATAGTCAACTAGTTGACTTCACTTTCTTCCCCACCTCTTAACTTAGGTCTGAATGAGATGTCTCAATCAGATGACACCTCCCCTTCCCCATTTTTGACCTTGAGGTCGGCTGTGGTCAACCTGTTGGCTTGGCCTTCTTCCCCATCTCCAGATTTGCCGTTGGCTGCGGTCAACTGGTAGGCCTTACTCCTGACCTTGGGCAGCTCAGCAGGTTGCAAAGAAGTGACACTAAGCAGGTTGTTTGAGGGGAGAGGGTCTCGCGAGGGCAGACTGAGCTGGTAACGGGGAGCTGGAATTAACTCGGCCTTGAAACCCTGCACCTCACCTCCTGTGGTCTTTGGATCTCAGCTGCTCTTGTTGACCACTGAGAGAGGAATGGAGAATGAGACAGGTGTCGGGAGCTGGGATAAACCCAGGGGTGGAATTAACATGGCGGTTGGAAGGGCAGGACCGAAGTTTTGGCAACGTTGAGAGATTAACACCTCCTTTGTTTGTTACACTAAGCCAGTCTTTTCCTGAAACATTCTCCCTTTTGTGGTAGGGACAACTTGGAAAGAAAACACGTGCATCGGTGGAGAAAATGAGATGCTGTGGGTTTTTTAGGAGAAAATTCACACTGCAACAGTGTTTCACATGTTGTGAACCTGTGTCGCCGTGAGTACTGAGGATGCTGCTGTCCTTTGTACAAAAGGATAAGTTTCTAGCCCTCACTGTGGAGGAGATCCATGCAGGTGAGTAGGATTTGCATTCCATGGTTCAAATTTAAATTAGTTCAGTTAGAATTGTTGGGGTTAAAAAAAAAATTTTTTTGCATGTCTTGCATGGTTTTGCCCATCACGTCCTTCGCTAATCTGGTCAGTGGCAACGACCAGATATAAACCTATTGTAAATGCACAAAAAAGTGAATTGCACAGCGTGGTCAACAGGTGCATCCAGCTAATGTGTTAGCCAAGGAAGAAAGAGAAGAGCTGCGTTTGTGGTAATTGTATGTTCTTGTTTGTGGTTACCATCAAAACTAAGGGAAAAGAAATTGCAAATGTTTGCTACCCAGAATATGTTTTAAAAACATTCCCCATACTGGCTGGGGAATTCTGGGAATTCAAATCCACATAACTTAAGGTTGCCAAATACTTGTTGAAGTGACTGGAGCCCAAACTCTGGTCCATGAAAAAAGGAGGAAAAAGCTTGTTATCAGGCAGGGTAACATGGGCAATAGCTTTAGGTCAAGACCCATGATTGATGGCTCCAATGTTCTCCTGCCTCATGCACTCAAATGTGTTGGTAGATTGTGGTTCGTTGCCTGGGCCAATATGTGGCCCTTCTTAACCATCAGAAGCATCTTCTCACACAAGAAGATTACAGATTTAACAGAGTTGGAAGGTACCTTGTAGGTCATCTAGTCCAACCCTCTGCCCAAGCAGGAGACCCTACACCATTTCTGACAGATGGCAGTCCACTCTTTTCTTGAAAGCCTCCAGGGATGAAGCTCCCACAACTTCTGAAGGAAACCTCTGCTCCATCGGTTGATTGCTCTCGCTGTCAGAAAATGTCTCCTTATTTCCAGGCTGAATCTCTCCTTGTTCAGTTTCCATCCATTGTTCCTTGTCTGGCCTTCAGGTGCTTTGGAAAATAGCTTGATCCCTTCCTCCTCTCTGGGGCAGCCCCTCAAGTACTGGAGCACTGCTATCATGTCACCCTTATCCTTCTCTTCACTGGACTAGCAAGGCCCGGTTCCTAGAAGTCGAGATGTTCTTCAAACATGTTCCTAAATTCCTCACGCCAGAACTATCTTCTCAAACAAGAAGGACAGTTTAGATGTGCTCCAAAGATGTTTCTAAAATCCTCACACCAGTACTCTCTTCTCAAACAAGAAAGATGAAGACTAGATATTCTCCCAATAGGGTCCCAAATTCCTCACATGAGAACTATCTTCTCAAACAAGAAGGGGAAAAATTGGATGTTCTCCAAACATGCTCTTCAAACCCCCAACCAATGCCATGGATGATGGAAGTTTTCATGGAAGAGGTTGGTCCCCTAAAAAGAAGTTCAGGACAGGTATTCCATCTCACTTCTCATTTAGGGAATTCTCCTTGAGAAAAAATAAGAGAATATCAGAGGAATATTTGGAGGAAACCTCCTATACCCTTCCAGGCAAGTGGCTGTTCAATCTCTTCTTAAAAGCCTCCTGTGATGGGGCCCCCACAACGTCTGAAGGCAAGTTGTTCCATTGGTTGATTGTCCTCACTGTCAGGAAATTTCTCCTTCATTCCAGGTTGCTTCTCTTCTTGGTTAGTTTCCGTCCATTGCTTCTTGTTCTGCCTTCAGGACATTTGGAGAATAGGTGGACCTCTTCTTCTTTGTGGCAGCCCCTCAGATATTGGAAGATTGCTACCATGTCGCTTCATTAAACTAGACATACCCAATTCCTAAAACAGTTCTTCGTAGGTTTTATCCTCCACTCCCCTTACCATCTTTGTTGCTCTTCTCTACACTCTTTCTAGTGTCTCAACATCTTTTTTATAATACGGTGATCAAAAGTGGTTGTAGTCTTGCTACAGGAAAACAAGAGCATCCCTGAACATAGGCTAAATTTACTTCTACACCTTACAAGAGTATCCACAGAGCTTGGTTGAACAACTCAAGTTGGGAGCCCCTGTTGTAATGACGAGGCAGTCGAGTTGCTTGATCATGATCAACTGAATCATGATGAACTTTATTGGAGTCTAGTCTTGCATCTATACACATTTTTAGTAATCCTCCAACATTGGTTAACTTTGGTTATTGCTTAACTTTCGTTACTGTTTAGCATAGTAATTAATACAATTAATTATCTCTAGTTAAAGTCTAACGCATGTTTACTTCCTCTCTCTAATCCTCCTTTAGATTAGTGACTTTGTTTGCCTGAGTTGTATTTGCTTGTAAACATTCTTTATCTGAGGTTTGCCATCCAAGATAGGAATATTCCTGCAATTACAACTCTACAAGCCCCCAAATAATAATCAACCAATGGAAATAATCAAACAATCAAGCAAATAATCAAGTAATGGAACAGAAGTTGCCTTCTGAAGTTGTGGGAGCTTCATCTCTGGAAGCTTTCAAGAAGAGACTGGACGGCCATCTGTCAGAAATGGTGTAGGGTCTGCTGTTTGGGCAGGGGGGTTAGACTAGATCACCCTTTCCAACTCTGATTCTGTTATTCTTTCTCAAATAAGAGTTGAGAAGAAATAGCTGTCCTTAACTCCTTTTTTGGGGGGGACCAGTCTCTTCCATCACAACTTCCATCATCCACGGCCATTGGTTGAGGGTTTGAAGAGCATGTTTGGAGGACATCTAGACTCTGCCTTTCTTGTTTTAGAAGATACTTCTGAATTTGAAGGTTTTTGGAGCACTTTTGAAGAACATCAGTCTTTGTCTTTCTTGTTTGAGAAGAGAGTTCTGATGTGAGGAGTTTAGGAACGTGTTTGAAAAACATCTAAACTTTCTCCTTCTTGAGAAGATACTTCTCATGTGACAAATTTCAGAGAACATCTAGACTTCCTCCTTCTGTGAGGAATTTAGGAGCACATTTCGAGAATATCTAGACTTCATCTTTCTTGTTTGAGAAGAGAGTTCTGATGTGAGGGATTTAGGAGTGTGTTTCAAGAACATCTAGTCTTCGTCTTTCTTGTTTGTGAGGAGACTTCTGATGTTGTGGGAGCTTTGTCACTGGAAGCTTTCAAGAAGAGATCGGAGGGCCATCTGCCAGATATGGTATAGGGTCTCCTGCTCGAGCAGGGGGTTGGACTAGATGACCTACAAGGTCCCTTCCAACTCTTGTTATTATTCTTATTCTCAATTTATCCAACATGGGGAGGATAGCCGTATCTTTGCCGTGCTGTTAAATTCCTCAGGACAATGTCTGTGGTCCAGAGGATGAGTTTGAAGAACTGGTGAGGATGTGGGGGGGGGGGGAATGGTGAGGAACCCCCTCAAACTTGGAATGTGAGAATGTGACATTCGGTCGCTCTGGGAAATATCTCAATAGACGCTCAGCTGCTGCTGACAGCTTTCCACTTTTGGCTGCCGTCCTGGAATCTCATCCTTTCTATATCGAGACAAAAGGAATTAAGGAATAGCTGGAGCAGGGCGGGGGGTGGCTGTGTGTGTGTGTGTGTGTGTGTGTGTGTGTGTGTGTGTGTTGTCGTGGCAATTAAAGATCTGGCAGCTGGGTGTCTTTTGTTCGGGCTGAAACTGGCCGGGTAGAGATGCTGCGGGGGGGGGGGGGGATTGGCTCAGTTCCTTGAACATAAAGTCCACTTAGTCAGTATAAAGTGGATATTGAAACAACTGTTATCCTGAAAGAGGCGAGACATTCTGGTGGGTTTGGGGAAACGTGTGTGTGGACTCTGTGTGTGTGT